GCCATCTCGGGCTCGCCAGGGGGCCCTTTCCCCCAGTTTGGGTCCTGCGCTGGACCTGCTCTTAGTTTGTCCAGTTCTTCCCTGACTTCTTTAAGTTCTCTCGCACAAGCGGGGTCTTGATGAGTGGGATTATCACCGGGAGGTGGTGGGGTGCGACAAGGGTCTTCAACGCCAGCTTCATTTCTGTCCTTGTTTTTGAGTATAGTGGTGACTGCAGCCGCCGCATCTCTCTTCAGCTTTGTAACTTCAATTGACAGCTTTTCCACCTTCTCATTTTGTAACTTGTACCTTCATCACAACACAAATCAGGGAACTATCTTAGTAGACTTTCAAGTTTCAACCTTACCAATACTATACTGCAACTTGTACACAAGGTCACCAAAATAATACATGCTATGTCACTAATTAACACTAATTAGCGTATGATATCAACACTAATTAATATAACCAGTTAATTCAAAGACAGAGTCCTTACCTCTCTGCAAGCCATCTGGCCCTTGCAACGGGATCCTCGAGCTTCCTCTTCTTCCTACTCCTCATAAGGTTCAAATCTTCTTCGTTTTCTTGTTCAATATCATCATCATCATCATCTAGCACTATTACCTCTATCCCCTTCTCTCCTGCTTTTGCTTTTACTTCTTCCTTATCAGTGCTAGAGCCCCACTGCACCATCCTAGTGAACTTTGGCTCCGAGCAGCATGGGCCCTCTTTGGACGCTGTCCAAATGTCTCTGCTGGGCACAACACTTGTCTGGTAATTTGTGGCTGTCTCTGCTGGTGTGAAAGCCCAGAAGCTCCAAATGTTGCTCCGATCTGCAATTTCCTTGGTTGGGATTCTCCGGAAAAACACCTCGGCAGCCACTTGTGGAGTCATCATATACCTCGCGTCAAGTGCGGGAATCAGATTCCCAAATTGATAGCCTTGTTCAGTGATGTGAGCGTGCAGAGAGTGAATGCTTGGGCACGCCACGCACACTGTGTGTTGATCAATCTCACTCACCTGTGTATACAACAAAAGTGAAACAAAATGAAAACCCAAACCAGAAAACAAGACCATTTGTGGGTTTTGTGAAGGTGTACCATGACGACCCGAGCCCCCTCGAGCTGTGTAGGGGTGATCGATGGAAGCAGCTTGGACTGGTCCACTTGATAGAAACCGCCCACTTGAATGACATTTTCTGTACCCATTTCAAAACACCGAGAAAAGATCTTGAGTTGCAGAAGCGGAAGAATCAGAAACAGGGGAAGAAGATAAAAAGATGGTAACCTGGTGGTACATAGAGGGGCCAAGGAGCAGTTGTCGGGGGCAGAGCATGCCTCGCCAAAAAAGGGCCGTCTGCCTGGTTTTGGTCTTGCCTCATCTCCTCTGAAATGAAAACCGAATCCTCACTGGCTTTCTGCCTTGCTCTGAAATGAAAACCGACTCTCACTGGTTTTACTGGCTTTTTGTTGTGGAGGGGTGAATGAGGAGTGAGAAAGAGTTGATGAAGAAGAAAAAGCCAAAAGGAAAGAGAGCATTTAATTGCTCGGAGCTTGGTAGGTGAAGCCCAAAAGACCAAAAAGCCTTAAAAATGATATTTGTTACATGTTCATATTTTCTAAAAATTGTTGGGTGTTGTAGGATCATCATTCAATTCTGATTAGCGGTTTTAATGAGGCCGCCAATTATAAATCGTACTGAAACTACAAAGATTTATTTGTTGTAGTTTGTGACTTATAGAATTAGATTATGACTTGAAAGAAGATCGATGCGATTAACCAAAACACATATAAAAAAAAGTCGATACCATGGCTGCATAGCAAAAAGAAAATGGCTCCCTAATAGACCATGGACTTTGTGATTGGGCCGAACTCCATGTATGTCTGAATCTAAGTAGCCCTATTTGCTTTGACGGTGCGGAAAGGCTATAATGAGGGCTTAAAGTGAGGAGGTTATTTGAGGAGGTCAAATCTCACCATCAACAAATGTAAAGAAATCATGAGATTTAAATATTTTAAATGTTTTGACGGTCGGATCGGTCTCCTCAAATAACCTCCTCACTTTAACTCCTTATTGTAGAAGCTCCCTTGACGGTGACTTCCCTTTCAACATCAACTCCTAACTTTGTTATTTCTTTATATCAAATGTAGAAAATGCATAATATGGAGAACATTAAATTAGTTTCCCTTATTTAAATCAAGGGTAAAATGGGTATAGAGAATTAATAAATGAGAGTCAATGCGGATTATACTTTTGGACCCAAACAAAGAGTAAGAAGTTAGAACGCACTAAATACCTAGCCCCGCGGGATTCTCTCTGTACTAATCTGCTATGGAAATTGCAGAAGTTACAGGCTTGACAGGAGAGAGAGCCATGCAGCTGAGGTTAGGTGGTGGTGGTACTGTGAGGACCACATTGGGGGTAATTTTCGTCCTCCTCCTGCTATGTATATTCTCACTGTTCTCTCTATTTGAGTGAGTGATGTGGCTACTTCACTGCATGCATTAATTTATTATAATCTCCTCCAAACTTTTCTTCTTCTTCTCCCTCCTCACCTTTTGATTTTGTCTATGCTCTATTGACGGGTTCTTCCAGGGTTTCATTTCATCATCCCAATTTCTTCATGCAACATAATATTCCTTCATACCATCCATCAAATAATATTTATAATTCATTAGTCAGTAATGTATACGTACATATATATACGTATCATCCCCAAAAATGATTTACTGACAATATTAATTAGTATTATAAAGAAGTACAAGTTTAGAGCATTATTGTTGTGCATATATACATAATGCTAAGGATAACCTCCATTATTATGACCATGAAAATGTCACCAATTTTATTGTGCATATATGTATGTAATGGTCAATAAATGCTGTACATACTTCCTTCCTTCTGCAGGCTCTACATTGACCAATTAATTACTCAAATTAGCTTTATGCACTTTACAGATCTGTGTTTATTATTTTTTTCTTTTTCCAGGGGACGAGTGGCATTAAGCTCAATACGCACAAGGGAGGGGCTACCTTGATGAGAGATTCACAGTTGCAACATTCCGATATGGATTCGTGAGCCTGTATGTTTGTTTCATCTCATTGTGTATTTCATTATATTGGAAAAAAATACCAAAGGGGACTGTTCTGGGAGATACTTACTAGTCCTGCTTCAACAATAATTTATATGAGAAATTGTGTCTCACCATGTAAATCATAAGCAAAAGCGCCTCATAGCAGCAAAGAAGAAACAGTGTGGTGCAAAAGAAAAGTCTAAAATAAACTTTAACTTAAGAACAATATGTGCATAAAGTTAATTCCAAATGATATGATTTTACATGCACACACTAATCATCGGACTAGTCTAGCATTCTTGCAGTTATTTAGAGGAGTGCATGCCCAAGATGCTACACGTTGCATAAAACTTCTACCAACTTCCTTCCTGGTATACCAAACAAAATAGGAGACGCACCAAATTCCTCAAATACAATCCACGGTAGAGCTCGAACTTCACTGTGCACAGTAAGGTCATCAAGATGTCGCGGTCGAAGTTGTGTAGCCAAATGTTTATGATACCATTCCAGATCCCCATATAGTTTACCAACATCGCAGTTAAAATGTACGAGTCGCACAGTAAAATTTCTATTTGCTCCTACGACAACAGTGTGATTATATCCTGAAAATTTTCTTGTGAATACATCGTGCACTCTCTCATTAAGCTCATGAGTATATTCGTAATCACTGTTGTACCAGAGAGAGAACAACGAATTGGAAAGAGGAGTAGCGAAATCATTGTAATGATTAAAAAGCACATTTAGAACCGGTTGGTGATATAACTCATAATGGCCTAATGGTTTCAACTCAACCACACGTATAATACCACCGCTATTTTCATCAAAAATGGCTGCAAATAATAAAGCCATTTTCATAAGTTCGAAAATTTCTTCTCTATTGTTGCCTTTCTTGTAAACCTCATAATAAAAATAAGCATATTGACCACCGGATCCATTCACAAGTGCTTCGTAAGGAGTGGATTTTTCGATAAGTTCAGATGTACTAACGAGATATGTAAGAGGATGATAGCTCTCATCTTTTTTCTCCCATCCAACTATAAGAGCACGCCCATCAAATTTCGTTACAAAATTGCAATATCTCCAGGCTTCTATTGCTGCAAGACGAATGCCTGCATATGGTTCCCTATGTATTTCCACTGGATATTTCATCCTTTCCTTCACATAAGTTAACATTTCAGTGCATTGACTGTTATCTCCCGCAATGACTGCAAGTATATTGTCACTGATTGTAAATAATTTCTTTGCTTTTTCATCGAGTATAAACCCTTTTCTTTGACCACATGTAACTCTGGTATTGACACCAACTAAGATTGTATCATCACATATAACCACGAGGTTTGTGACGCCTCGTCCCTTTCCCTGCGTAAAAAATTGAATAATTTATTCAATATTCTTGTTGTTCCTGAATTAAACAATTAAGGCAACGAGAATGCAGTAATTGAAAAGACATTAAAGACATTACACCAACGAAAAAAAACAAAGAGGAAGATGATTGGTATGTAGTTGTTTACATAAGAAATAGGTTGAAAGTAAGACGTACGGCAGCAAATATTTAGGCTTAATAATAAATAAGATAACAAAGAAGAAAGAAAGAAAAAAAAGCGACAAGCCCCACCAACACACCCTCCACCACAACCCAACCTTCCCCATCGCCGACTACCGCCCCCAACCCATGGCCTCCATTCCCCGCTCATCTAGCCAACCCGGTTTCTCCTCTGCGATGGTAAAAAAACTATAGAAAAACAACGGCAAATAAAAATAAAAAACGAAGCAAAAGAACCTAAAAAACCCCAAATTGGAAATCGGAGAATGGTAGAAACCACGAAGTAGGTATGATACATTTAACCAACCAAAAAAAAAAAAAAACGTACGACATAAAAAAAAAAAAGTGGTGGTAATGGTCGCAAACCTTGAACTCTTGATTGGTTTTCTCCAAGTATTCCTTTTCTGAAACTGAGTTTTGCAATTCTTGGTTGATCATAGAATATGCATTTGCCATTCCCATGTTCGACTGAAGTGTATCAATGCAACAGAGCAAAAGTTCAACCCGCTGCAATCACAAATTTGTTGTTGAAAAAGAAAGATGAACATAAAATATTTTTCAACCAAATTAACACCAGCAGTCATCCTTTTATAAGAAAGGACTTGTTCTGTTTAGGGAAAGGAAAAAAATCTTACCCATAAGACGGGGAAAAAAACAAGGAGCTAAACAAGAAACAAAAAAAAGGGGAAACAAAAGGTTTGGGTATAAAAAAAAATAAAAAAAAAGCAGGAAAAAAATGAAATATGGCCAAACCACGGAGAGCGTAAAAATTTGGAAGAAATTCGATAGCTTCAAACAATAAACATTCAACGCCTCTGTAAACCAGTTTGTATCCTGGGACTGACCAAGTTGATGTGTATGTTGGTGGTGCTGAACATGCTGTTCGCCATTTAAAGTTGTTTCTGTATAATGAAGAAATTTTTGCGAATACATGTTTCTAATGCTTTGCTAGCCAAATAGGACAAATAATGCGACGAATAAATGTTTCCTAGCCAAATAGGAATCAATCACAGAAGGAGATCTTTTTATTATTTTTTAAAATTTGATATGGAATGTCTTGTTTGGAAGGAATATGTTTTTCAAATATAAAAATAAGGAAGTTATGAAAGTTCTATAAAAATCAAATCAGGTAGCACAATTAGCTACCCAATACGTTATTTTAACTTTCTCTCTTTTTTCTTTTTTTAATATTTAAATTTAACTTTTATTATTTGATTCCTTATTAACCTGATTTATCTGAAAGGGTATTTCCTAGTATCTGAAAGTTTCCCTAAACTCTGCGTTGGCCTTTATATATAATGCTCTTTGCGTTTTCTTTCTCTTTCACTCTCTCTTTTTTTGACCTAAAAAAAAACAGTCTCTCTCTCTTCTCTCTCTCTCTCTCTCTCAATTTTGTGCATTTAGGGCTTAGAAGTTATAAAAGACTCCGTTATCGATGAGTGGCTCAGCGAAGGATGTGCAATCCAAGAAGGAGCTTGATAGCGTGGTTCACAGTGGTGCACCCGTTGTTCTGCAGTTCTGGGCCTCGAGTTGTGAGGCTTCGAAGCACATGGACGAGGTCTTTGCCCACCTCTCTACTGATTTCCCTCATGCCCATTTCTTAAGGGTACGTATTCTTCTCATCTCTATACGGGGTTTTTTTTTTCCAGGTCTTTTGTATGTGTGTGTGCTGGTGTTTTTTTTTAAAATCTCCAATTGATGATAAAATGTTGTAGGTTGAAGCAGAAGAACAGCCTGAGATATTTGGGGCTTATTCGGTTTGTGATGTGCCCTACTTTGCCTTTGTGAAGGTATGCTTATTTGGTACAATCTATTCATGTTTCCTTTTTGATTTGATGCTGGCTGATTTTGAGTAAGCATAGTTAGGTCGTTGGATGTGAGGCCGGCATTCAATATAACAAAGTTCTGCATTTAGATAATAAGGTTCTGTTGAATTTTTTGTCACATGATTTATGATCATTGATCAACTGTTTTGAAGATGTAGAACTTAGGTGTCACATGCAATATGAATAAGTGGAAACGCGTGCAAGTATGAATTGAGTTATGATTGGAAAAAGAATTTTGCTGTTAGATAAACTTTTGAAACTAATATCGTTGTTGGCTTGGGTTCTTCCGATTGTTCTGTATCTGTTCTTCTCTTAGTCATTTTTTGTTTGTGCTTTTTTTGGTCAGGATGGAAAGGTCGCTGATACATTAGAAGGTGCAGATCCATCTATGTTGGCCCATAAAGTTGCTAGGGTTGCTGGGTCAGTTAAGCCTGGAGAACCTGATGCTCCTGCTCCTGCCAGTCTTGAGACAGTCCACGAGTTAGCAAAAGAAAATGGATCTTCCCAGAAGCAAGAGCAAATTCAAGCACAAAATGGCCTTGATGATGCCTTGAAAAGGCGGTTGCAACAGCTGATTGACTCTAATCCACTCATGCTTTTCATGAAAGGAAGCCCTGAGGAGCCCAAATGTAACGTTAGCCGATTGGCCATTGACATTTTGAAGCAAACGAAGTTCAAATTTGGAAGTTTCGATGTTCTTACGGACAATGAAGTCATGGAGGGGATAAAGAGGTATTCTAACTGGCCAATAATACCGCAGATTTACTACAAAGGGAAGCCCCGTGGTTGGTCTGAGATAGAAATTTTAATGCGTCGAAGTGGTGAATTAGAGGAAGTACCCAGAGACCATGGAATTGATACTGCTGATTCTACTGGGGCGAAGGTAACTGAATTAGAGGAAGTTTCCAGAGAACATGGAATGGATACTACTGATTCTGCTGGGGCAAAGGTAACTGAAGCTGGAAGTGGAAAGGTCGGTATCTCAGCAACTACTGGATTTTCCCAGGACTGGATCTTCTCACGAGCAGATGCAAGTTCAAGTGCAAAATGGCCTTGATGATGCCTTGGAAAGGCGGTTGCAGCAACTGATTGACTCTAATCCAATCATCCTTTTCATGAAAGGAACCCCTGAGGAGCCCAAATGTAAATTGAGCAAAATGGCCATTGACATGTTGAAGGAAGAGAAGATCAAATTTGCAAGTTTCGATGTTCTTGCAGACAATGAAGTCATGGAGGGGATACGAAAGTGTTCCAACTGGCCAACATTACCGCAGCTTTACATAGAAGGGAAGGCTCGTGGTTTGCGTCACATACGAACTTTAGAGTGTGGTTTTCGTGAATAAGAGGAAGCTTCCAGAGACCATGAAATCAACTCACAGAATTAGAATACACAACTGAATACCTGTAGACTGAATTTTTTATATAATGTATTCAGCTTGTGAATGGCAATATTCTATCAGTTAACTTATAATCTCTGGATTTATATGATTCTTACTCTTTTTGGTTTCTAATAATTAATGGCATTGTTTCCTAGGTCTTTATCTACATAAAAAAAATTCAGACAACGAAAGATGCTGAAGGAACCTTTAGTTTGGCATTCCATATTCCATATTCCTCTTCCTCTTTTTGTTTTCTATTTGGCATAATTTTTCCTTCCGTAGGTCATGAAATCTGGGGAATTCTTTCGTAATGAAAGACAATCCTAACAATAGCTTTATGAAAATATGATAACTTTATGCGATTAGCATTTTTTGCAACGTTTCTTTTACTCTTTTTTAAATGTCAGCATTTCTATTACATTATTCCACAGTTCCTTCCAAGTTTTAATCGTTTATGATCAATGTGTGTGGACGCTAAATTTTTTTATTGCCATCTCCAGAACCTCCTCTACTATCAGTAGAGGACTAGCAGCTCATGAGCCAAATGTTGAGGGTCTTAAACTCAAACAGAGATCAATTACAAACCGAAAATATGGAATAATGCTTATAATGGCACTTGAATGACATTTTCTGAACCCATTTCAAAACACCGAGAAAAGATCAATCAAACAGTTGAGTTGCAGAAGTGGAAGAATAAAAAATAGGGGAAGAAGATAAAAATATGGTAACCCGGTGATACACAGAGGGGCCAAGAAGCAGTTGTTGGGGGCAGAGCATGCCTCGCCAAAAAAAGGATCGTGTGCCTGGTTTTGGTCGTGCCTCATCTCCTCTGAAATGAAAACCGAATCCTCACTCAGCTCTGAAATGAAAACAGACTCTCACTGGTTTTACTGGCTTTTTGGTGTGGAGGGGTGAATGAGGAGTGAGAAAGAGTTGATGAAGAAGAAAAATCCAAAAGGAAAGAGAGCATTTAAGCCAAAAGAAAAAACCGACTCTCATTCACACTCTTATGTTTCCAATTTCAAAGTCCCAAATATGTCCACATTTTCAGTCAAACAAAAAAGAAATATTAGCAAGTAGGAAAATATGATTATGTAACAAATATCATTTTAAAGGCTTTTTGGTCTTTTGGGCTTCACCTACCTAGCCACAAGTGGCTGCAGAGGTGTTTTGTTGAAGAATCCCAACAAGGAAATTGCAGATCGGAGCAACATTTGGAGCTTCTGGGCTTTTACACCCTCAGCGACAACCACAAATTACCAGACAAGTGTTGTGCCCAGCAGCGACATTTGGATAGCGTCCAAAGAAGGCCCATGCTACTCGGAGCTAAAGTTCATTAGGATGGTGCAGTGGGGCTCTAGCACTGATAAGGAAGATGTAAAAGCAAAAGCAGGAGAGAAGGGGTTAGAGGTAATAGTGCTAGATGATAATGATGATATTGAACAAGAAAACGAAGAAGATTTGAACCTTATGAGGAGTAGGAAGAAGAGAAAGCTCGAGGATCCCGTTGCAAGGACCAAATGGCTTGCAGAGAGGTAAGGACTCTGTTTTTGAATTAATTGGTTATATTAATTAGTGTTGATATCATACGCTAATTAGTGTTAATTAGTGACATAGCATGTATTAGTCATTCTGAACTCTTATTTTGGTGACTTTGTGTACAAGTTGCAGTACAGTATTAGTAAGGTTGAAACTTGAAAGTCTAATAAGATAGTTCCTTGATTTGTGTTGTGATTAAGGTACAAGTTACAAAATGAGAAGGTGGAAAAGCTGTCAATTGAAGTTACAAAGCTGAAGAGAGATGCGGCGGCTGCAGTCACCACTATACTAAAAAACAAGGACATAAATGAAGCTGGCGTTGAAGACCCTTGTTGCACCCCACCACCTCCCGATGATAATCCCACTCATCAAGACCCCACTTGTGCGAGAGAACTTAAAGAAGTCAGGGAAGAACTGAACAAACAAAGGAGGTGATCAAATCAATGATCCTTTATGTTTTCTTTTTTAATTTCTCTTTTAATTTAGCAACCACAAAAAAGTGATCAAACCACTTATTCTTCATTTATTTTTCATGTCCTCTATTCTAACTTTACAGGTATTGGGAGATTGTTAGAAAGGCCTAGGTCCAAGTCTTCCTTCCTAAGCTGCAGCAGCAGCAGCAGGATATAAAGGAGATCCTCACCTCAGTGCAACTCTCTATCTATCTATCTAAAATATATCATTAGAGCATCCACAATATGGGTGTGTATGTTAAATATACACATCGAGTCAGCGGAATGGTCTCCAATGGAAAGATGTAAATGGATGTAAATATACATCACCACTATGGGGATGTAAAATAAAATGTATATTTACATCTATTTTTACATCCCTTGGAGGCGGGACCCACCCGAGAAAAGAGAAGAAAAATGAAGAAAAGTCAGCATAAAAGGTTGGGACCCATGGCTACACCCCTGAATTTACATCCCTTTCATTGGAGCTAAAATCATATTTACACCCCTCGAAGGTGTAAAGGAGATGTAAAAATGGCTTTACACTCCCGAATTTACACCCCCCCTTAAAAAAAAACTATGAATGCTCTTAGGAACTTAACCAAGGTGTATTGGGGTTTATTTACATTGGCTTCTCTTGGACTTAACCAAGCTAAATTAGGAACTTACTTAACCAAGCTATATGAATTTAAGTTGCTGAATTTTAGTCATGCAGGTTGTTGGTTCAATTGGGGCTTTGTTTTTTGTCTTTAGCCAAACATGGGCCAAAAGCAAGTTTGGGCCCAGTGACCTTACAAAATAAAGTGCCAAGTTTATTTTATCTTCTTGTTGCAATCTAAACAAACAAATTTAAATATAGCTGCAAAAGATAAGAGAAAGAATGAAGTTGGTACCTTTGGAATAGCAAGGAAATTGTAACACCCCGACTCCAATTTTATCCCATGTTTTAATTAATTTAAGTGAAATTAAGAATTTACCCGTGGGATAGGGCTATTTTAGTCATTTTCTTATCCGGAAGGAATTTGTAAATTCCGGATGTACCATCGCGTAGAGCACGGCGAGATGAGTTCGTAGACACGTAGTGGGCTCGAATCGGAGTTGTAACGAGAGAGTTACAATCGAATGAAGCTCAGTGGCACGATCGTAAATATTTGAAAAATGGATTTTTGATAAAAAGATGGAACTACCCTCGTCTCTCTCTCTCTCTCCTCCCGCGCGCACAGCCCTCTCTCTCTCTCTCTCTATAACACCAGATCTCTCTCTCCTCGGTTCTCTCAGCTCCGGCCACGGGGGGACGTGAGACCGGTCCCGTTCGCTTCGTCTCGACGGCCCAGTCAAGACCCACCGGTTTTTCCTGCCGGAAAACCCGATTCCAACCGATGGTAGAGACTGGTTCAAACTGGATTTTTCACGGCGTTGCGCCGTCGTCTCCGCCGTCCAATCCCGGTGAAACATGTGGGCTTTCTCCCTCATTTTATCTGCTATAGCTGCCTGTTGTGTAGGATTGGATTAATTTCTTGCCTAGAATCTTGATTTTGAAACCTAGGTTTTGGCTGGATTTCAGGTGGAAATTCCGGCCACTTGCCGTCCGAATTAGACATTGCCGTAGTTGAATAAGTTGCTCCATTCGTCGAGTAGTAGCTGTAGCCGAAAGGGTGGCTCTCGATTTGGAAGTTTTCTAGCGATGGGTATCGCTTTGGACACCTACGCGTTGCCGGCGCATGTGGCGGTGCGTGGGCATTGTAGTTGCGGGGCATTTTTGTCCCACTGCGATCCTCTCGATGTCACGAGCGCGCAGGTGTGCTCGGATCTCATTTTGGGTACCGTTAGAGTCCCGAACGGATATCGCATATCGCGTATTTCCCAGGTTCGCTAGGTTTGGACCTTTGGATGGTCCTGAAGTTATAATATGTTGATCTAGGTATTACCAGGATCGTGTAGGATTCGACGGATCGTAAAACGGAGTCCCGAATACTTCGGAAATGCCAACCCTAGGGTTAGGGTTTTAGTAACTGTCCGATCCTGCGATCGTGAGCGATCCGACCGTCCGATCTGGACCAAACTCGCAGGACATGTGTCCTAGAGCCTGTAGAACCTATAGGAACTTTCGGATCAGAATTTGGGAGTTGTGGGCCCCGCGGGCCCGTTTGACCCTAGTTTGACCGTGAGACTTCCGAGATAGTCTTACCTTTCTTTGAGGGTTAGAATGACCTTAGTGACAAGTCTTGAGCATTGTTGAGTTAAATGGATATTGTGGGTTTATGATATAAATTGATGAATTTAAATGGGGGAGTTTATAGAATGCTTTACTGGTTGAGGTTTATATAAGATTAGAAATTATATAGTATATATTTAATTGTGTGGATGTATAAAGGTATATAAAGAAATCGAATGTTAGTTTACAGTGTTATACGCACTACCCTAAGTACCCCCCCATATTGTGATTATGTTGAGGCTTTTAAACCCGTGCGGGCCGGTGAGAATGTAGCCAGGCCCAGTGTTGAGGTCGCACGCGTCTTTGGATT